ACGTTACTGGGCCCGCTCGAGCAAATCGACGATCAACGGGAGGGCCTTTACCTTACCTTTTACCATAATTATATACCTGACACAAGAATCTAAATCTCTTGAATTACTTGATAGGAATGAGAGGGATTTTGTGATTCATAATAAATTTCTTTCAATCTCTTTTTCTTTTTGGGTCACACCCAGCGATGCTCAGGGCTTACTCCTGGCTCTGCACTCAGGAATTACTTCTGATGGTGCTCAGGGGACCATATGAGATAACAAGGATCAAACCCGGGTCAGCTGCAAGCAAGACAAATGCCCTACTCACTGTCTTATCGCTCCGGCCCCAATTTCTTTCAATCTTACTGGAGTTTTTCATAGATTTGCTCAAGCGGGCCCAGTAGCATCTCCATCGTGAGACTTGTTGTTACTGTGTTTAGCACATTGAATACGTCATGGGTAGCTTGCCAGGCTTTGCTGTGCGGGCAAGATACTCTCCGTAGCTTGCGGGGCTCTCCAAGAGGGGTGGAGGAATTGAACTCTGGTCAGCCGAGCTGGCTGCGTGCAAGGCAAATGCCCTACCCGCTGTGCTATCGCTCCAGCCCTCCTGGAGTTTATACTAGTAAAATGACTCTTGCCAGAGCAACTAGACCCTGACCTAGGGGAAAAACAGGGGGCTGTAAATTGAAAACAATCACCATTATCCAATGACTAGATCGAGTGTCCCCAGGTAACACTGACTGCATAAAATTCTTAAGCCTAAATCACTCAGAAATCTTTCAGACTGGTAAACACATGGAGGTTGGTGCAACTCGAGAAGGAATGGAAGCTCAGTGCCCGTTGCCACACAGTTTGCCCCATGCATCCCAAATGCCTGGCAGTTCCTTGTTTTTAATTTATTTATTAACTTCTTTTGGGATCCCCAAGCCGTGATGGGGGAGCAGGTATGCAAGTGAGCATGCAGTGCCAGGGAACACACAAGGCTTGTGCTCCGGCCCTTTGTGCCATTTTCCCAGCCCTAGTCTTCATTTTTAACCTTTATAATGGAGAGGTAATGGTAAGAGCGTTTTTTTTTTCTTTTTGGGACACACCCAGCGATGTTCAGGGGTTACTCCTCGTTCTGCACTCAGGAATTACTCCTGGCGGTGCGTGGGGGACCATATGGAATGCCAGGGATCAAACCCAGGTCGGCCACATACAAGGCATCTTACCATCTCTCCGGCGTAAGGGCGTTCTTAAAGTTGTCTGAGACCTCCCAACAAATCTGAGGAGGGGGTTGTCAGAATCTTAATTTATAGTCAGTTGCTTGAAAGTAAAAATCACAAGCTGAAACCTCCAACTCATATTTAAAGGAAGGTGGCTGGAACTGAGGCCTGCGACTCTGGGGTCGGCACTAACTTAGCTAGTTAAGGTCATCCAGATGGTGACCGCAGAATTGGAGAATCACTTAAGGTGAGAAAAAAACTCACAGTCTTTGTGTTAGAAGAGCTTTGAGTAGTGGACAAAAACAGTAGTTTACTTTCAGGCATGGTTCCAGATCCCCAGGAGCTTCTAGTCATGGTCAGGGTGAAATATTTTAAAGAAAATTATTTCAACAGCTACGTGTCCCAAGTACAAGAAAAGCAAGTAACTACAACAAAGTGTGACATTTCTCCTGATTCTTAAATGTTGGATGCTATTGTTTCTCAGAGTTCCATCACTTCCTTATCTGGCTCTGAGCCCAGTTCTCAGTCCTAACTGCGTATCATCATTACATGGAAAGCAGTTTTTAATGCCTTGATCCCTCATCCTTACCCTTTAAAAGCTCCCCAGATAGTTTTCAAGTAGAATCACAGTCGAAAACTAGAAAATCTCACCTACTTTTCATGACTCCGGTTTCCCCCCTATTGCAGACCATAATATCAGCACTTTCAGGCCAAACCATCCCCTCTGCAGTACCTCAGGCACTTCATTCTCAATAGATCCAAAACTGGATTCCTTCTCTTTCCTCCAAAACCTGGTCCTTTTCCTGTATTTCCTAACTGATGAATAGAGCCACCATTAGCCTAGTCAAATATCAAGAAGTTATCTTTTATTTTTCCTGCCTCCTCACCTTCCACACTTAAGCAGTTCTTTCCTTTTTCTTTCTTTTCCTTTCTTTCTCTCTCTCTTTCTTTTTCTTTTTTGGTGGAGAAGAGGGTTGATGATCAGGGAACCATACTGGGTAGCAGGGATCGAACTCAGGTCAGTCACTTGCAAGACAAGTGCCTCACCTGCTGTTCTCTCTCTCTCTCTCCCCCTCCCCCGCCGACTAGCTCTTCTTGCTGAGTTTAAACACATTAGGTTCTCTCACTGGCTTCATCATGTTTCACCTAGATCCCTGTAACAACCCATACATCACTCTAATCCTTCTCTAGAGCCCTTTCAAACAATGCTACCAGAAGAATCAGGAGCAACTCCTCAAAATGCATCTAATTACAATGCTCCATCCAGATCAGGGGATGTAGACATGGATTCAAATCCATCTTAGGGTTAGGGAGATAGTCCAGGGTTAATGTTCTTACCTTGTATGAGGCAGACCATGGCTTGAGCCTCAGCACCATACAGTCCCCTAAGCACCTCCAACACCTCCAAGAGTGACCTTAGACCACAAAGCCATGAGGAGCCCTGAGCACAGCCAAATGTGTGTGTGTGTGTGTGTGTGTGTGTGTGTGTGTGTGTGATCTTAAAGAGGCCAGGGGATGCTCAGCAGTGAAACAACTGTCTTGCAAACATAATGCCATGAATTCAATCCCTGGTGTCACCTGCATGAACAGTCCCCATAGTCTACTGCTGTCTGGAACCCCAGCAAGGTGAGTACACAGTCTCTAACATCTCAGTGTCTTTGAGAGTACCGCAACTAAAGCATCTGACCCCTGCAAACACCACAACTAAAGATGTGGGAGCACTGTGGCCGGGACAGTGATCCCTGGCCAGCATGTGTTACAGCCATAACAACCCCTGGCAAGCACTACAACTAAAGGACCGTGACTCCCACAAGTGCATGTGCAAGCACCACAACTAAAGAGAGCGGCCGCTGCTGAGAACAACGGCCAAGTGCTGGAAGCATCATATCCAGATGTGGAGGCCCTGGCAAGCACCACAACCGCGTGTGTGAGCGCAGCCTAGCATCTGTAATGGCATTGCGACAAGTGGGATCTTTAAGACTGTAACCTTAAAGTCTAGAAAGAAAAAAAAGACATGTAAAAAAAAAAGGTAACCTTGATAGATCAAAATATAAGTTAGGAAGGAGTGAATGGCTTTTTGCTGAGTAAATTAGAGGCACATATAATCTACAGGTTGCTATGGGCAGAAAGAGAAGTTTGTGGAGAAAGAGCTCAAAGGCATGAGGTATTTAGGCAGTCAAAGTAGTGTGGGGACAGAGGCAAAAGGCATGTCATGGACAATGACATAATCCTGAGATAGGAACAAGTTAGACTTAGCATGATTCCCCACACACCCACCACCACTCCCCCCAATCCCTCACCCCCACTCCCTGGCTGAAATAGTAGTTTCCCACTACTATCAGAATGAAACTGCAGGGGGCTAGAGCGGGTAGGGGGTTAGCCTTGCACGAAGCCAACCCGGGTTCAATTCCCAGCATTCCATATGGTCCCCTGAGCACTGCCAGGAGTAACTCCTGAGTGCAGAGCCAGGAGTAGCCCCTGTGCATCTTCAGGTGTGACCCAAAAAGCCTAAAAAAAAAAAAAAAAGAATGAAACTGCAGTAGGAGATACAGATCATTCATGAGCTGTCTCTCCAAACACTTTCAGCTTCATCTCTCATCAGACCATGTCTTCCTTCTCCAGTGATTCCAGACCCCAGTTCTTCTACAAAGGTATATGGCACACTCCTGTATATTTTTGTTTGGGGGCCACACCCTGCAGTGCTCAGGGTTACTCCTGGCTCTGCCCTCAGGGATCACTCCTGGCGGGGCTCAGGGGACCATATAGGGTGCTGGGATGGAACGGGCGTGACTGCATGCAAGGTAAATGGACTACCCCCTCGCTGTGCCCCACATCTGAACATCTCTCAAGATCGTCTATCTCTCTCTCCTTTTCTACACTGTCCACATTCAGCTCAGCAATCATCTCTTTTGAAAACTTTTATTGGTTGACTAAGCATCTTCTATGAATATTTTCAGCACTTATAAACCCGAGATACAATGACATAAGACACAACCCCTTTCCTTGGTGTTTGTTAACGAATCAGAGAGAAAAAAAATAAGACATCATCTTAATAGGTTAACCCCAGAGAAAAGATGTGGCTAGAACACAAAGTCAGCGAGGGGCCGGAGAGAGAGGGCTGGGGTTAAGGAACTTGCCTTGCACGCCAACCCCAATTCAATCCCTGGTACCCCATAGGATCCCCTGAGCACCTCCAGGAGTGAGCCCTGAGCACCGTCGGACGTGGTCCAACACTCTCCCCCGCACCCTGAAACCCTAGCCCCCACTCCCAAATCACCAAGCACCAACGGGGCGGGGGGAATATAGATAGATGGTCCGAGACTGGCCAAGGCGCCTGGGGACTGGGGGGACAGACATCCTTCCCTGCCCTGCCCAGCGCCGCGCGCTTCTCGGGGGCATCCGGGCTGACGGTGCCGCTGCCCTCCACTCTGACTCATGACGGCGCAGGGGTCCACAGGGAAGACCAGCGCACCGTGGCTCTGGATCACCGAACCAAACGGTTGCTGGGCCGCGATGTTCAGAACCGTGACCCCAGAGGCAAGGGTCGCCTCCTCCTCCTCCCCGTCCCCCGGCTGAAATCCATCAGACGGCCCCCCACGACCGCCAGGATGAAACTGCAGCGGGCGCGAAAACACGATCTCGGGGGGGGGGGGGGGGGGGGGGTCGGGACGGGATCGGGTGCAACAGCGACAGCGACAGCCCAGCCCGGGCGCTGCGGTCCCGGGGCCCGAGCTCAAGGCGAGGAGGGGACGCGGGGCCAGCGAGCGGGCGGCCGGGCCGGACCGTGCCCCGAGCGGAGCGCGCAGTCCGCCTTACCTGGGACGAGCGAGGAGCCGCCGCGCCGCCTCCCCAGCATCCTGGGCTCCCCCGCGCCTCCCACCGCGCCGGGCGGGGACCGTCCCGCTCGCCTTCCCAGCCGGGCGCCACGCGCCGCCGGCCCCGCGGAGCAGAGCGGACGCGACCGACCCCGCGGCCGCTCAGCAGCGACTCCCGCCGCCGCCGCCGCCGCTGCCGCCGCCGGAGCGCCCGCCCCGCTGCGGGGCCACCGGGGATCATAGGCGCGCGCTGATTGGCCTTCTCGCGCCTGGCCCGGCTGATGTGTCGGGCTCTCTGATTCGTGCCACCCCGACGGAGGCGGGGCTCGGCGCTGTTCGGGCTCCGGGAGGAGCAGAGGGGCGGGAGCGGACCCGAAGTCGCGGCGGCCAGGGATGCTCCGGCGAGGGCGTTTGCGCGCTGCCCGCGGAGGGGGGGTCGGCCAGGAGGGCACCTGTAGGTGCGGGTGTGGCCGGAGCTGGAGCGCTGGCCGGCGCCGGTAGCGATCTCCTCGACCCCACGGGGGTGGCCTGCAACCATAAGACATCCCCAGGAATGCCCACTCCGTGGCCCTCTGGCCCAGAAGCGTTCAGCTCACCGTGGAGAGCAAACACAGCAAGTGCAAACACAGATTCGCAGGATGTTCCTTACCGCACAGGAGTGGAAATGACTTGTTTAAATTTCAGGGGAGTCAGTGGAATTTCACAACTTAAAATTAGCCCTCTGTGTTCCAGCAGGCTCTAATTGTTTCGGCGCTAAATAGGTTAGGGGAAAAAAGCATGGGATCGGCAATCTGAATGTACAAGAACTCTATTTTACAATATTTGCCCGTTTGCTGGGAAGGTAGCTCAGAAGGAGGGTGGTCCTGGGTTCCAGCACTAGCACTCACACAAATCCTGTTCATCCTGGAAGCTTTGTTATCTCTACAATGAGGACTGCAGAATAAGGCATATGCCCTAGGAAGTTTCTGTAAAGTCCAAGCAAGTAGACACAAAAATTTGTATCTGCTGGCTGGAGACGTAGTACAGCGTGTCGGGTGCTAGCCTTGCACGGCGGAGCCAGGTTTCATCCCGGCACTACATATGGTCCCCAGAAGTGACCCCCGAATGCAGAATCAGGAATAAACCAAGAACACCACCGCGTGTGGCCCCAAACAAAACAAACCAAAAAGCAAAAAAGTATCTGAACATAGCATATGTAGGAGCATTATTATTAATAGTTAATAAAACTTGGAGGGTGACATGTAGATGAACTGATTAATGGTTGAAGAGAATAAGGCATATCTATACAATAAAATATTATTCAGCCTGCAAAAAAAATTAACTTCTAAAATATGCTATACTGTTCATGAATCTTGAAAATATCTGAAAGGAACTGAAGAAACTATACTACAAATCATCTAATCCATTTATATGAAATGTAAGAATTGGCAAATTTACAGTACATTGATGGAAGCCTTGGGCTGAAGGGATGGGGGAAATAGGAAATGGTTTTTTATGGGTATGGAGTTTTTTTTGGGGGGGTGACTGATGAAAGTTATAAAATTGTGTCAGTCGCATAAATCTTTGAATATACAAGAACTAAATACTTTAAATAGCTGAATTAGATGGTAACTTATATTTTAATAAAGCTAGGGTTACAGGGGTCGGGAAGGAGGGAGGGGTGGTAGGAATCAACCCCATATATGCAAGGCATGTGATATATGGGTAAGCCATATCCACATCCCCAGCCTCTCAAAAAATAAGTTATTTTTAAAATTGAGATAAAATGAGATAATAAACCTCTGAGAGCCCTTCAAGAAGAACTCCGATGTGTAACCGTACTTCCTTCTATATGCTGTTGCAAAATCTTGAATAATTTGATCTGAGAAAATTAAAACGGATACCCATGGCATTTTTCTCTGAAACATTTAAATTAAATGAAGAAGATGGTCTGATTTAAGCAAACCTGTTACTGGGCAGGCAAAAATAGATTGCTGTCATTACAAAGCACATTACAGGGAAATCAGCAAGGTCCACAGGCAGAAAATCGGGGGAAGGAGAAGGAAGGAGACAGCACTCAACAAGATAACTAGAAGGCCAGTCTTTTAAGGTAAGGGACTAGGTCTCATTCCATGTCCTTCATTCCAGACCTCTTCAAGAAATGACTTCACTTTCACTCCATGGCTTGGAGGCCAGCCACACGTGCTAGGGGAAAAGGCAACTCAAATAGAGAAGGGAGCACCAAGTAAAGGGTGTTGGGAGGATCCTCCCAAGATGGGAGATGCATGCTGAAAGTAGACTATAGACCGAACATGATTGCCACTCTATGCCTCTTTTGCAAACCACAGCACCCAAAAGGAGAGAGAGAGAGTAAAAGGGAATGCCCTGCCACAGAGGCCGGGTGGGATGGAGGGGGTGGGGTGGGGAGGGATACTGGAATCATTGGTGGTGGAGAATGGGCACTGGTGGAGGGATGGATACTCGATCATTGTATAACTGAAACCCATGCACAAAAATTTGTAAGTCTATAACTGTACCTCATGGTGTTTCACTAATAAAAATTTTTTAAAAAATGACCTCACCATGACCTAAGTAATACTGTAGTCAGAGGCAGAGAGATGCCTCAAAAGCTCAGAGCATTCTTTATCTGCAGGATACCCAAGTTCCATCCCTGATCCCACATGGTTCCTGAGCGCCAGAGCAACCCCTGAGCCTCATGGGTGCTCCTCCACCCCATAGAAACAAAAACAAGATACTGGACCTGGGCCAGAGAGACAGCTCAATACACTTTGTATGTGGGAAGCCCAGGTTCATTCTCCAATATCACATGATCCCCTGAGCACCACCGGGAGTGAGCACTGAATCAAGCATAACCCTTGCACTGCTGGTTAAAACCCAAGCACTGTAGCACTATCCTCCTATTGCTCAACAATTTGCTCGAGCGGGCACCAGTAACGTCTCCATTGTGAGACTTGTTGTTATTGTTTTTGGCATATCGAATACATCACGGGTAGCTTGCCAGGCTTTGCCTTGAGGGCAGGATACTCTAGGTAGCCCGATAGCCGGGCTCTCCGAGAGGGGCAAAGGAATTGAACCCGGGTCGGCTGCATGCAAGGCAAATGCCCTACCTTCTGTGCTATGGCTTCAGCCCATGTTCAAAACCCAAAGTAAACAAAAATACAGGTGCCACTATTATAACTACAAGGGCATTCCTGTGGGAAGCATGGTCCCTACGAGCGTCTCTCCCCAGATGAGAAACGCAGCTCTTGGGGCTGACCTTCAACCCAGCAAATGCTTTCCACACCTGCAAGAGGAAGTGGCCAGGTGGGAGACTGTGACTTGAGTCTCATGTACTAACTTAGGAGAACAAATTCCAGATGTGGGGGATTCAGTAAGACCAGTGGGTAGGAGGCTGTTCAGTGAAAACCTGGCAGGGAGGTTGGCAGGATGTGTCCCTGGGCACAGCTCCAGGGGCCTCTGTCTGCTGATTGCAGTCACAAGCGAAGGACAGGAAGGCAACTTCAGAAGCAAGCTTTTCCGGGTTTCCAAGTCTACCCCCTACCCAATACTCATGTAAAGAAGATGCCAAAATAATGGACTCCTAAATGAAAAGAACAAAGTTAGAAACAGATTATATTACATGACCTATTGAATTTAATAATATGAAGACACACATGCTTGTGATTTTTCAGAGATAATCCTCACCAGGGACAGTAGTAAACTGGGAACAGTGATTGTATCTGGGAGGGAACTGAGGGATGTGGGCAAGACCGAAAGAGATTTATTTTTACCGTTGAAATTTTGAAATTTTGTAAAAGTAAAGTAAAGGCCCTCCCGTTGATCGTCGATTTGCTCGAGCGGGCCCAGTAACGTCTCCATTGGAGACTTTGTTGTTACTGTGTCTGGCATATCAAATACTCTCCGTAGCTTGCCGGGCTCTCCGAGAGGGGCGGAGGAATCGAACTCGGGTCGGCCATGTTGGCCGCGTGTAAGGCGAACGCCCTACCCGCTGTGCTATCGCTCCAGCCCTTGAAATTTTGTATTTTGGATTAATCTAGATTTGTTTTTGCCTTGGGGCCACACACTGCAGTGCACAGAGGTTATTCTTAGTTCTGCACTCAAGAATTGCTCCTGATGAGCTTGGAGGACCGTATGGGATGCCAGAGAGCAAACCCTTAGCCTCTGTACTATCTCTCCAGCATATATATGTATATGTGTGTGTGTATGGAGTATACACATAGCATATCGGGTTCCTCCGTCCCTCTCGGAGAGCCCGGCAAGCTACTGAGAGTATCCTGCCCGTATGGCAGAGCCTGGCAAGCTCCCTATGGTGTATTGGATATGCCAAAAACAGTAACAACAAGTCTCACAATAGAGAGTTACTGGTGCCTGCTCGAGTAAATCAATGAACAATGGGAAAACAGTGCTACAGTGATATATATATATATATATATATATATATACACATATACATATATATAGTTTTTTATTAAAGAGAAATATCTACTGGAGAACTCACTTTTCACTTGGCACTTATACTGTTCTTATACTGTTCTGTGTCATTTAATAAGCCTGTGTAATTTAAGAATATTCAGAACACTCTGCCCAGATTCAGATTTCACCTGAGAGAACAGAGGACTTTGCCCTATGACCTGTATATAGGCCATTCAAAGAACTCAGGGTTTTTTGTTGTTGGTCTTTTCTATTCCCATTTTGGTTCATTTTGGTTTTGGTTTTGAGCCACAGCAGGTGACGCTCAGGGGTTATTCATGGCTCTACATTCAGGAATTACTACTGGTAGTGCTCAGGAGATCATATGGGATGCCGGGAATTGAACCCAGCTTAACTGCATGTGAGGCAAATGCCCTACCCGGTGTACTATCACTCTGCCCTCACCCCATTTTTTTTTCCAAATAGCACAGGCAGCTCTCTCAGAAAAGAGAATTAGTCACCTCAGGAAAAGCCCACAAGGTCAGTCTTTATATAGCTTTTGCCTCAGAGGAAGATCTGGTCAAAAGCGAGGACGTGAGATTCATCTGGAAAAAGCCTCTGTGGCCATATCCCTCAGAAAGCTAGAGAAAAACCTGGGGCAGCACAGCCCTTAGCACTGTTATGGAGGGAGAGTGTGTCAGCATTTCTCTGATATTTGGGAGGACAGAAGTGCCATAGATTTCCCTCCACAGCATTTCCTTTCCAGGATCTGGCAAGATGGAAACAGAGGTGGGAGGTGGAGGGAGGAG